TTCTCATCCTGGACTCATTTGCTGATGTCCTTCAATAGCCACACAGGTAACGGGGAACCACGCCGAGGCTATTTCCTTGTCAGGGTACGGCAATCTCCTTCCAACGGGAAGGACTCCAGCGCGAGTAAAGAAATAATCACTCTGTTCCACTTCAAACATGGCTGAAGTAAGTCACCAGCCACAGCCACCTGAGCGGCAGCTCCTGCTGCTGCCAAAATGAAGGCTGCCATCCATTTTGCGCCTAACTCGCTCCACAGACCGTTTCCCAGATGGCATTTGAAAACGTGGTTCAGAGGATGGTTTTTTTTCCTTACAAAGCCTGGTTCGGTCTGTGCCCAGTCCCTGCCAAACCTGCAGGGTTCTCCCCTCCCAAAATTTACACCGTTCTCGTTGCTCTCCATCGCTTTTCTTCCACCAGCTACCAGCCCAACCACGCAGCCTTCACCCCCCTGTCCCTCCATCTGTCCTCTGTCTCCTTTTCCTCACCCCCTCTGTCCTTATCAGCGACCTTCCCTCCCGCTCTGGTCCAAGGTCCCCGACTCGGGCACCGCAGCACCCGCTGCAGCCCCGACCTCAGCCTCCCACCCCACCAGCCCAGGGACCACCTCGCCCTCCATCTCCCAGAGCTCCTGCAGCTCAGGTCCTCCCACCCCGACCCGCTCAGCCCCTGCCTCACTCTCCCACCATGTCTCCGCCATCCTCTCCCCAAGCTGGACAAGGCATCACACCCACTGCGGTGCCCCCATACTGGGCATACTGGACCAGGCATCACACCCACCATGGTGCCCCATACTGGCCATACTGGACTAGCCATCACCCCATCATGGTGCCCCCCATAGTGGAAAAGGCATCACACCCACTGTGGTGCCCCTATACTGGGCATACTGGACGAGTCATCACACCCACCGTGGTGCCCCTACACTGGGGATACTGGACAAGGCATCACACCACCATGGTGCCCCCATATTGGACAAGGCATCACACCCACCATGGTGCCCCCATACTGGCCATACTGGACTAGGCATCACCCCACCGTGGTGACCCTATACTAGCCATACTGGACAAGGCATTACCTACCGTGGTGCCCCCCATACTGGCCATAGTGGACCAGGCATCACCCCACCATGGTGCCCCCATACTGGACAAGGTATTACCCACCGTGGTGCCCCCATACTGGCCATACTGGACCAGGCATCACACCCACAGTGGTGTCCCCAAACTGGACATACTGGGCCCATTCCCCCCGCATCCCTCCCTGCCTCCCCCCATTGCTGGGCTCCTCCTGCCCCACCCCACCCTCCTGACCCCGC